GAAAAATGCCCCAAGCCAGAGCTTTGCAAAATTTCAAATTGGAAGCATTTGTGATAATTCAGACAGGAAAAATCTGTGAACCTGTCCTATCTATGAAGAAGGGGTGACTGGTGTGTATGATTTCCACGAGGACGTTTATTTTAGAAAATAAATGACTTCTAGAACTTCTGAAGTGTGGGAGATTAAGGAAATCCTCTGCAGGGCCTGGCACACAAGCCACAGGGTGCGCTGGTTCTGGTCCCACTTTCCCTCTTCCTACTGATCAGGGCCTGCTGAGCACTGACTTAGCACGCCCAGATCTACTAGGTACTAAGGGGTAAGAGGGCCCCAGGTTAGACTCTATACCCTATTTGATAAAATTAGGAGCTACCAGGTAACATTTGGGCTAGGCTGACTTGAGAAAATTTATACAAATAAAACTACTTTCCAACAATTCAAACTACTGTTTGTCTAGTAATTTTAAAGAGGAAGCTGGGAACAGGGGGACAAAATTATTGCACTACTGATAATGAAGATGTCCCAGATGTTTCTAAGCTCTAAGAACAACATTAGAAAGGCAGGTGGCAGAAGTAAGGGGTAAAACCAGTCTCAGGTACTATAAACCGAATCATCTGGGCAAAAACTAGTACGTGAGCACAGCATATAATTCACATAAAACAGGGTGGTTTAAAAACAGCAGACTCACTCTTTCATACGGTCACAGTATCACCAAGACCTTTAAACATTTTTAAAATTTGTTTTTATTTTTAGAGATGGTGTCTCACTGTCACCCATGCTGGAGAACAGTGGTACAGTGACCACAGTTCGCTGCAGCCTTGACCTCCTGGGCTTGGCCTCCCAAAGCACTAGGATTACAGGTGTGAGCCACTGTGCCCAGCCTAACACTAAGAACTTAAGGCGCATCGTTTCTATAGCATTGAGCCATTTTCCGCAGAGTGGCAGCGAAATGAGAGAGAATCGTGGCCCTATTGAGCGTGCCTGCCTGCTCACTGTTCCTGACATGTTCTGCTCGTGTGACGACCTAGACAGACAGATGGACACCTGGCAAACAACGCAATTCTGCCTCTCCCAGCAGAGAGAGCTGAGTCTCAGCATCTCCTGGAAAGATGGAGATTTTGGAAGGATATGTTACCTTTGCTACTCAGGAACTACTGAATCTACTATAGCTTCAAAATAAGAACTGCATTTCACAGAAGGAAAAATGCTGTTTTCATGACGGATGTTGCTAATGGGGCCACTCAATATTTTACCGATAGCACCAACTATCTGTGTACACGTCTATGTCAGTGTTTGGGGTGGGGGCTGTTCTGACAGGTTTGCGTGTAGGTGTCAGAAGAGTTTCTGTGACTATGACTGTATTTCTGTGTGTAGGGGAAGATATTTACTGTTCCCTTTCAGAACTGAGCACTGGAGAAGTCGACAGGAACCTAGTTATTAAGATCTCATTTGGGGCCATGAACTATTTATTTTCCTTTTCTGAAAAGTGGTTGAGTGAAGGACTAAAGGCAATAAGAGACGAAGGGTCCCTCTCCCATCGCACGGACCAGCCAAACAGCCTCCTCTCTAACCTGCTCCCGATCCCCATTCTAATAGCCGCCTGAGCTCCCGCTTGGCATATGACAGGTGAGACAGGCTTCTGTTAGTCTGATGGATTTGGTTTGCAGATATCACAGGTTTGCACATAATATATAATTATTCTAGGCAGTAAACACCGTAAAATGGAATGCAGAATAGTTTAGAGAATTTAGTGCCATTATTTTATTCACCCATACAAAACATAAGGAACCCATTCTCTTTCTTGACAGATGGATTTCAGAGGAGACGTTTCAGCTCAGAACAATAATTGTGACCACAGCATAACTCTCACACTTTGTGGGGTTTAATGGACTTTTCTTTCCAGTCCTCAAAAAGCAGCAACTGGCATTTGCTCAAACCCTGACTGAGGTGTGGAAAATCTGTCAAGTTTTCTCTGCCGCTTACCCTGACCACAATTATACGGTCCATGTGCAGATTAGCTGCAAAGTCATTCCTCCTCCAGGAGTGACAAGATTTCCCCAAATAAAAAAAAAAAAGGTATCTACTGTATCCTCGAGTGCCCGTCTGCCTTCAAAAGGCAGGGGTGGGGGGAGGATCTAAGGAGTGTGAAGAGAAATGCCTTCAAAAGAAGGGCATAACAACGGAAAAAGTAGCTGTAACAGAGTGGGGACATGGCAAGAACAGAGAGAGGCATTGTCACGGGCGGAGTAATCCTGTGACACACTGCTGTCACTCACCGCCCGGCTCCCTGCCGCGCCAGCCAGACATCAAAGGCTGCCCCATGCCATCTTACATGCTCTTTATCGGCTAATCAGCCCATTCTTCCCTAAATAAAGCCCTGTTAAATCCCCTGCTCACAGGGGTATCGTGGTCTTGGTGCCCATCTGCTAGCGAGGGTCAGCTGGGGCAGGAGGCAGCGGGCTGCTCTCTCCCTAGCGGCTTCTCAAGGTAAGGACAATGCTGCCTCCAACTCCCCCGCCCACAGGCCTCCTCTCTGCTTTCCAGGAGCTGGGCCGGCCTGAGGAGCTGCTATCTGGATTAACACTTGCTAATGAAATCTCCAGTCATAAAGGCACATCATCTGCTAACTATGAAATCTTGGGATTGCATTTATTTTCAGGGAAGAGGAATAAACAAAGATGGGTTTCCTTTTTTTTTTTTTTGAGACAGTGTCTTACTCTGTCGCCCAGGCTAGAGTGCAGTGGTGCGGCTCACTGCAACCTCTGCCATCCAGGTTCAAGCGATTCTCCTGCCTCAGCCTCCCGAGTAGCTGGAATTACAGGTGCCTGTCACCACGCCCGGCTGATTTTTGTAGTTTTGGTAGAGATGGGGTTTCACCATCTTGGCCAGGCTGGTCTTGGACTCCTGACCTCGTGATCCACCACGCCTGGCCAGATGTGTGTTTCTTAACAGTAATCATTTGGCAGGTCTCTTCCTCCGCCCTCAAAGTATCACCATTGCCGAGACGGTGACAAAATGGTCAGGCTTCTGATGAGGCTACTCTTAGTCACTAGCTGTGAAGCCTCATGGTTTCACCCCACACTCAAAGTTAACATGCATGGGTACCGGGGACAGCAGATCCTAAGACAGGAACCCAGTTCCCGGGCCCTGCAGCCTAGACTCCTGGCCCAGTCAAGAGCACCTGGGAGTAGAGCAGAGGCATCTTGGCCCTCTGGGAGGGCAGCCTGGCTCTAGCAGAGGACGAGCAGAAACATCTCTGGGCTGCAGCCCTGCTTTGCACCCCTGAACCTCAAAACGGCCTAGAAGGAACCAGAGAAGGACACGTCCACGCTCATCTAGGCACTGCAGTACAGCAGCACATGGAAACTGTTTGTTTTACCTCAAAGAATTACTGGAGCATTGTCTTATGTGAGAGTATTCGTATCAGAAAAGAATCAAGCATCTTAAAAATTCCAAAACTGGGAACAGAATTAGGCAACATTCTATCCATTCCAATGATACTTGGAGGTGCGAAGTCCCCCAGAGAGGTCAAGTTGGATGTCCCCGAATATGCTTTTTAGCTTGTAAGGATCTTCATCTGTAGGGCCCTGTATGGTTCAAAAGGCGTATTCACAAGTCACCTCATCTTTTTTTTTTCTTCTGTAGAGACAGGGTCTCACTATGTTGCCCGGGCTAGTCTCTAACTCCTGGCCTCAAGCTATCTGCCTGCCTGGGCCTCCCAAAGTGCTGGGATTACAGGAATCACCTGATTTTGATTCTCAAGACAATCTTGTGAAGTAACTAAAAATATGGATTTTCTTCTCCCTAGTGTAGTTGAGATCGAGGCTCTGAGACATTAAGAAAAGGCATGGCCCCAAACTCACATCAGAACAGAGCTGACTTCAATCCAAGTTCCCTGATTGCAAGACCAATGGTCACTTCCCTCCACTGGGTGGTCCCTCTGTCTTCGCCGTGACAGGCCAGAGAAACGGGGCCCTGACAAAGTTGATGGAATACTCGACACTTCCTGGTGAACAGGAAAGCCAGACATCATGTGGGAACAGGCAGTGCAGAGTGGTCCTTCCTGCAGATTCCCAGAGTCAGTGGGGGAGCCTGTGGCGTTTGTAAATTAACGTGGAAAAGGGAGGATAAACAATGCAAACTAGCCATCCAGAACATTCTGGGACTGAACCTGGAAATCAGGGCAGGTGAGAAAAAAGTCTCTGTGCCCCAAACATTTGTTCGACGGACCATTCCCACATAAACAATGAGACCATCCACCCCAAAGTTCTGACATGAGTAGCTCACAGGCCCTCAAGCACTCTCGCTCCTGTGAGGGGCTGAGGCTGGTACTAAAAGAACACGTCTTTGAGAAGAGGAAGAAAGCCTTTTACAAATGTAGCGTGCTGAGGGAAATCATCTCAGCACCGTGAAGACAGACTCAGAGCCCAGCCTCGAACAGGGCAATACCCCTTCCTCTCCCCCGGACCTCTGGACAGTCCTGAACACACTCTTTGTGGGAGGAAAGGGGAAGGGCTCACTGCGCTTGCCTTGATGAGTGCTCACCACTGGAGGTGCAACTCAGCAGTAAGGAGCCCAGCGCTGACCCCAACGCCAGCCTGTTAGAGATTTGAGCTTCTGCAGCTCCTGGAATCTGAGGCTCGGGCACTCGGCCCTTCCATCTCACTGGAACAAAGTATGCTCCTAGGGCTCGTCACACAGAACACACCAGAATGTGTCATACACATCTCGGATACTTGCCAGGGCGGACCGCAGCACAGCTGAAGCTCTGACTACAGCAAGTCCTATGAACCCCACCCCATTTGGGCCCAAAAGGAGGCACCCCTGAATTTCGGCAAGATGAGGGGCTTTCTTCTCATTCCAAGTGCTTGTTTATTGGGAGAAGGGCAGGTATGAGTGAGAAGAGAGTTGCGGTGAGCATGGCAGCTAGCACATCACCTCACTGGTGCTCATGTGAACAGAGCGCTCTAGCCCCGTCACGGGACGAATTCAGCTCATCTTACCTTTTTAGGTGTGCTTTCCTTTTCTTTCTAGTCAAGGCACTAAGATTCCTGGGGGCATCTCTTAGCCCGAAGCTCTTCGCCACATGCCCAAGGTGGAGGGATCGGACATGGAAGATGTGCTTCAGTTCCCTGGGGTAGGTGGCGTAAGCTTGGATGAAGGACTGCAGAGCTGAAAGAAAAGAAAAGGGAGTGGGGAGGGAGGCTGTCAGGACCGGGGTCTCCAAGCTCCAAAGTGCCTGGCCTAATGGTTATCTTCTGTACTTTATCTTGCCAGGCAATGAAACATGACAATTACAACATATACAAACAACTAAAATCTAGACTTCTGTGTATTCAATTCCTAAACAACAAAAAGAAAAAAACTACAGGGGACCACAATTACTACTTGAATACGCCCAGTAAAATTTCAGATTTGACCATGGAGCTTCTAACAATCCAACAGGGTGAGGCCCAGCACAGCACCTGGTACCAGCCGGCAGTTGGTAGATGTCTATTGTGTAAACGAGTGAAAAGAGAGAATGGGTGAAGAAACTAAGAAATGATCAACACAGGGCATCGCTTTCTTATGAAAACGATCATTAGACATTTACATTAACACATTTTTCCTAATTAAATTTTACTTACTTTTGAATAGTTAATGCATGCTAGTGTGTTACAAAATTCACAAAGTTCAAAAGGCTTCATTATGACTGTCATGTTTACTGTGAATGAATGACATTACCACCAATGGCCCTTCACCACAAGCCCCACCTCCAGCTCCCTTATCCACAGACAATCCCTGATACCAGCTTTTCTGTGTACTTATGGGACTTTTTAAATTTAAAATTTGTTTAAGAGGTGGGGTCTTACTGTGTTGTCCAGACTGCAGCACAGTGACGTGATCATAGCTCACTGTAGCCTCAAACTCCTGGGTTCAAGTAATCCTCGTGCCTCAGCCTCCTGAGTAGCTGGGACTACAGGCTACTTTTTAAATTTTTATTTTTGTAGAGACAGGGTTTCACTATGTTGCCCAGGTTGGTCTTGAACTCCTGATCTCAAGTGGTCCTCCCGCCTCAGCCTCTCAAAGTGCTTGGGATTACAAGTGTGAGCCATCTCACCCAGCCTTCCTCATGGGATTTTAAAACCAAGTTCGTTCTAAAAGTATCCAGGATTAACCAATACAGTGCTTCTTACTCAAAGAATGTGTAAAAAAGGGAATGAAAACAAATGTTAAAGGAGAAAGAAAATTATTAAGTCTCTAAAATAGTCCCTTGAGGACTGACAACAATTTAGGGATGTTTATCAAACATTCTGTCAGGAAAGTTTCAGTCCCATTTTAAAATTAAGAAAAGCGGCCAGGTGCGGTGGCTCACGCCTGTAATCTCAGCACTTTGGGAGGCTGAGGTGGGTGGGTCACCTGAGGTCAGGAGTTTGAGACCAGACAGGCCAACATGGTGAAATCCTGTCTACTAAAAATGCAAAAATTAGCCGGGCCTGGTGGCAGGCGCCTGTAATTCCAGCTACTTGGGAGGCTGGGGCAGGAGAATCACTTGAACCTGGGAGGCGGAGGTTGGAGTGAGTGGAGATCGTGCCACTGCACTCCAGCCTGGGAGGGCAAGAGCCAAACTCCATCTCGAAGAAAATTAAATTACACTCAGAAAAGGGGGTCCTCGTTGTAGGTCCCACCTCCCCCAGAAAAGGGCCAGACTCATTCCCAGGAGGGTGGAGCTTTGGTCTACTTAACTAGGCATTCCCTTGAGAAAAGATTAGATTGGGTTCCCCCTTGAATATCTCTGGAAGTAACAATGAAAACCGAGTGTCCACCCACTTCTCACTCCAACAAGGAAGGAGGGGAACGTTCTGCAAAGCACTCCCCGCCATCCCTGTCACTGCTCTCTTCACCTCCAATCCTGGTCTTCCGCCAGCTGAGCCAGAGCCCAGCCAACGGTGTCTGATGGAGGCAAGCACTGAACACCAGCCTTCACTTCCTCACTCTCCTTGTTGAGCCACTGGACTGGCAAGTTTGCCCACAGCTTAAACATAATATCCCAGCAGCACCTGGAGATTGGCGTTTATGAACAGTAATAAAAAGTGTCATTTTAGCAGATCAGCTCCTGGAAGGATCCTGGGGAATCCATCAAAGCTCTATTTACTGAGTAAAGTGAACTCCTTTTCCCAATCGATGAGCAATAATAACCAAGGCAACTCCTCTGTACCCCACTCTTAAATCTGTGCTTACTCCCCTTTTTAATAACCAGGGACATTTTCAAGGAAAATCTTTAACGCTTCAAATGGTCTGTACTATCTGGAGGGTTCTGATACCACTAGACACAGAGCCCCACAGCCAAGCCCTTAGAGGGAAAGGCTCTACTGCTGCGTGACCCAGGAGATTCAACCCTCTTCTCCTCAACCTCTGTCTTTCCCCAACCCTCAACACTTACTCGGGTCTAAAAAAAGACGAGACTGAAACCAAGTCAAGCCGAAACCAAACCAAGAGCCTGCGCTCTTAAAACCTCAGTCAGCCAAATCCCACTCTAGGTCTCCTCATTTCCTGCCTCTCTTCTGTGTAAGCAGATGAGCCCCTGGGCTTCCACCCTGGTCACCTCTCTTCCTCTCCTTCTCTCCACCAATCCTATGAGCCGAGCGCTGAGAGCATCTGTCCCAGGAGACGTAGGTGCCCAGCTAACAGCTTTACAGGGATAATGAGTTTGCCAAGATGTGGCAGCAAGTGTTTTCTCCCCAGACAACTGGTCAGGCAGCATTTCACGCTGCATATCTTTACTAACCCTCCTTGTCCTCAAGGCTCCTGTCTCACCGGGACAGCGACAGTTGGTTGTCCTCACATACTTGCATGGACTCCCATGTTTGGATAATTCAGAGAAGCAGGAATTTCAGATGCTGCAGCAGCTGTCTGCAGGACCTTTCAAGGAGCAGGAAGTGGCTTATGTTGGCAGTGTCTAGAATGTGCAGAAGGAACAGGGGCTGTGGGACCCACACAAGCGGAAAGTGGAGAAGTAATGAAAGTAGACATTTATTTGGGGTGATGGATGAAGCTACAGGCCACCAGAGTTCAGCACTTTGCAGTCACTGATTGCTATTTCTTGCCAACCACTTAAGGTGCCTGAATTACGGCAAATCTGTTTTCTAGTATCTCGCATGGACACATCGTCCTTTCTCATTCCTGGACATTTGGATCAGAAACTAGTGGTATCTTATGATGACTCGTAAGATGAAGGAGTCAGAAATAAACAAAGCTCCAGCCTGGAAGGTGAAGATCATCTCTGCTCCTCCCAACCCCAGCCCCCACTCTCACAAGAGCACCCTTCAGTGCAGAATAAAGGCACATGGATCTTCCCACCCAACCCCTACAGTGACAACTATGGAAAGGATGTAGGCAAGGAGGTTGCGTGCTGTTCTCTTAAAGACAAAGCATTTGGTAAAGTGCCCAGCCTAGCTCTGACCCCACTGAGGGGAGAAGAATGACTTGTCATCACTGGTATGGGTTTTCTAGACTTTGAGAAGTATCCCTTCCAAACAGGCATAAATCCTACATGGAGTTTCTGGTCTGCAGGGAGACCTGAAGACGGAGAGCATTAAGCCACAGGAGCAATGGTCATTTGCAGGCAGAGGACTCTAGCTTCGAAAATTTTTGTTCAGGAGTCTGGAATGCAAACTTATGTTACCACTCTTTTTACAACTTGAATCCCTAGCTAAAAGACGCAAGAAAACAGAGGAAAAAAGGGGTAACTGCTTCTGGAAACTGACAATTAAATGCTGGTTGTTAACCATGACTGGGTCCGAAAATGCAAAAGGAAAACAAATACTTGGCCCAGTTTCTAACTAGTTTTCTGCCATCAAGGCAAAAGCCAGCTGCTTTGTTAATTATTCATGAGGTGAGTTCTGAAATGGCATAAAAGGGAAGCAAGTCAATAGTGTGGAATTTGCATATGCAGATTGAAATGCAAAAGACTGTCTCCACCTATGGGGTGGAGTGGCTGTTCCTATGTTGTAAATTCAATACATTTAGGGTGGCGAATACGTGTGTACTCTCTCAAGCCTCCAAAACTTAGTCCTAAGGAACAGGAGAGAAGGAATGGTGGCAAGACTTATGTCTGAAATGGGGTGACTGAGCTCTGTAAGAGGCGGTGTTGTCCCAGCCCATCATCAATCTGGTGTGGAAATCGATTAGCAAATAAGAGACATGATACGTTTATTTCCTTCATGGTATACAAACATTAGGGAGTGACCCTGTTCCAATATTCCTTAAACAAAAGACAAGTGACTCTGCTTGTTTCATGGTATTAACAAGCTCAACGGTAATGATGGTGAGAGAAAACCCAAAACCACATCCTTTAAGAATTACTGTAACTTCTACTCCGAAGACCCAGACACCTTGAGATAGCTGTAGTCTTGCCAAAATATCTGAGGCATCACTGACACCAAAATCGAAGGTGACAGTGTGGGTTTGATTTCTTTCTTTCCATTGCAACTTTGATACCAGCCCTGGAATTCAGTCGCACAACACCTTGTTATGTACTGCACAGCCAGTTGAATTTGCCTAACTTTCATCAAAGGTCCAAATTCTGTAAAGTTACACTGTGACAAAGACCCTATTCCTCTTGAGAGACAAAGCAACACTCCTCTAGAGGTAGCAAGGTAGGAAAACCCTTGGGAATTGTTGAATTCACTTTGGGGAAATGCTAAGACAGGATATTATTAGAGAAAAATCTAGAAGGATATATAGTGTATATACAGTGGCAATTACTGGGACTTCATCTTTTACCTTGTGTGGTTCTGAATTTTAATGATGACAATCAAGAATTTCAATTATAATGTGCTAAAGGTATGTAAGAGGTCCTTGAAAATATTTGCTGACTAACCCATTTTTATCATCTATGTTTCCTGGTGATCACAATTGCTCCTCAGCCAGTCTCCCAGCTTTTACTTTTGACCCCCACTAGTCTATTCTCACACAGCAGCCAGATGGTATCTTTCAAACCTAAGTCAGATCCCACCACACTTCTGCTCCCCCTTCATTCTGACGAAGACCCAAAGTCCTACGCGATTCTGCCTTGGTCAGCACCCCCTTTCCATCCACACTGCGTTCCTCGAGCTCTTCTGCACCGGCTCCCACTGCCCAGGCGGCCTTTCCTTTAGAGAGCCACAGGGCTCATCCCACTTCAGGTTTTTGCTCAAGTGTCACCTACACAATGAGGCTCACTCTGACCCCATTAAAAATGCACTCTGCTATGTCACCCCTTCACCTCCCCCATCTCCTTCTACTGATTCCATAGCTCTTGTCACCTTGAAACAGACTATTTCTTATGTTTATTATGCTCTCTGTCTGCTGCCCCTGACCCCACTAACACGTTGGCTTCACAAAGCAAGGATTTTTATTTTGATCTCTCATGTATTCCAAGCACTTGGAATAGTGCCCAATTTGATAAATATTTGTCAAATGAATAGTTTTTAAAGCATTTCTATTTATAAAAAGAGAAGATGCTACAGTGTTCCAGTATTTGTAAGCCAGCCTGGCACTCTTCTCAAAATAGCAGGCAACTAACAAAAAAATCCTGTGCATCCTCCAGCATGGAGTAAGTCTCATTAGACATGGTCAGTCTCTGGCCAAGACATACCACAACAAAAAGTACCAGTGATTATAAACCCCCTTCAGCCATGCACTGCTTATTACTCAACGTGAACTGCGATGTCCACATCTAATGCATGGGGATCCCAGGAGCCAATTTATCCTACAAAGGGTCTGAATATTAAATCAGTACCTAACTCTTTTATAAATTTCCTAGGAATTGGGTTCATGGTCTATGGCTCTTCCTCAGTACTGTTCTTTCTCATTTTTCTTTGTGCCTTCAAATAGGAACTGCTTAGGTCTAATATTTCCAGCTCTGGCCTTCATCTCTAATTTCCATCTCTACAACTGTTTCTACTAACGTGTCACATCTCTTCTATCTGGTTTTCAAACAGGAAAACGGATCCTTAAAAGATCCAAGTTGTTGGGTCAAAACTCTAGTCCCCATGTAAGCCAAGATAAAGCCTCATTTGTGCAAAACATGGGGAAGGACGAAATTAACATTTAATATCACTTTAAAGCCTTCTGTGCCTGCTTCCAAACCCTGCAGAATTATGGAGATTGAAGGCTTTGGCTGGTGAGCAGGGTCCCCATGTTGGCCTCTCAACCGGTTTGGGGGTATGTGGGTGAAGGTGGGGGAGAGCACTCTGCTGGGCTATCCACTGCACCTAGGAAATAGACCGACCTTTCTTTGCCCAGGAGACCCTCCTCTCACTGGAGTGCACGTAATCTTCAAATACCGTCTGCAAGACTGTGGCTCGCTCTCGGATTTCCTGGGGGCCAACAGCATGGGATTTCTGAGAGGGCGACGGAAGGATTAAAGGAGAGATAGAGTCAAAGTCAGGAATAATGAAGCAGTTTATAATAGATTTAATAACAGTAAAACCACACAGTAACCACCTAGGGGCCAACAAGTGTAATCCTTTCAATATTACTAGGGAAAAAAAGGGAGCTATAGAGATGTTAAAGTCAAGTAAAGATGAGGATGGCTTTATGAGAAGATCAGGTCTGTTTACTTATTTACTTACTTTTCTTCCTGACCTCTTACCATGCATGTTCAAAATCAAAGACCATTGGAGACACTTTGGAATTTTCCAAGTCCAATTCAGACATTTAAAACATCACTGAACATGAGCTGTTTTCAAATGGGTCTTGGATCTCCCAGGTATCTTCACCTTTCCCTTACACACACCAGTGGAACACTGACAATTTCTCTTTGTGAGCACTCCACAGTGACCTGCCTAAAATTCTGCCTTAAAAAGTGACCCCTATGCTTGAATTTCAGAGCAGGCTTCCTCAGTGCCTAGAGCGGTTCAGAATTCTAGTGTTTCAGATTTATTCCTCCAGCCCATGGCCACTGTGCTGAGTTCCCAGGAATCTATTAAGGAGTGAGTGGGCTGTTCCAGGACACGACACTCAAAAACTGCCTGGATCTCTGCAGCAAACTGTCCCTGTGTAAGAGGTAGCATCTGTGTGCATGCAAAGAGCCTACAGATGGAAAATGATGATAAAATAGACGATTCTTGTCTTTTCATCCTTTAACAGTACCAGAGAAAAAAATTTCCTTTTTAAATATCCCCTCTAAAAACTAGTGGCTTTTGTCTCCAGTATCTTAAAACAAACATGAGTGCTTTCTACTGAATGTGAAATCAAGAGAACACAGATTCTTCCACCCAATGAGGCCAACCTGCCAAGTGACACTGATCACCTGAGTGGTGCTGGTGCCTCTACTTCCACCGGCCACCCCAGTGTGAGCCCCCAGGGAAAATCCAGAGACCAGGTCGTGCTGCTTAACCTTGTAGAGGACGGTGTATGAGCGCTTGCATCTGGCCTCACCAAGACTCCCCGAGCCTCCCTTTCACCTTTAAGGCTGACAGAGGAACAACAAAGGGGAGGAAAGAAAAAGCCTCATTCTCTGGATCGACGTTCATCTCTGTATTAAGAGACTTAACAACGTGAAAATGTTTTTAGTTGAGTCAAATCATTCCTGCTACCTGTTTGGTTGATGACAGTCTCGCTGATGTCACAGTACAATACAAGGTCCCCCTAAGGGTTCTATCCGCTAAAATGTCAGGAGAAGAGTCACTCAGGAGCCGTGTTACCAAAGTGGACATTTGCTATTGTCATTAACAAGGATTTTTTTTTTTAAACCCTCTTAACTGATGTGAAATGCAAACTTTTTTTTGCTGCCCTCCTTTCGTTAAGCCACCTCAGCAGCACAACTGTCACCTTCCCTGTGTGCTTTTTTTTTTTTAATATGAATGTGAAATTAGCGAGGATGCCCTTTCCCCTGGCGGACAGAATCCTCTGTTATTAAAAAGTAAAGCACTTTAATAATGAAAACTTTTTCCTCTTTTTCTTGTGTTTTAACTGTTTAAAATTAATGAGAAGGGCAGAATGGTTGTCAAAGCGATATTGAAAGCCGGGCAGCCAGGACCGAATAAGCACAAAAATCCCTCTAGAGTGTTAAATAAACAGAGCTCCAGCCCTCTCCGAATCCCTCTGTTGGTTATTGTATACATTCTGTAACAGCTCTCAGAATAGATCTGAGAGCCAGGGAGGCAGAGAGGTTTCAGAATTCCAATAAAGGCCTCAAATTAAAGACAGCCTGGTGCGAATTCCAGGAGAAAATTAAAGAGACCTCAAGCTTAAGTGACAGGTGACTTGCTTCTGTGTCACAACTGTCAGGGGATTTAGTGATAATATGGCAATATATTACAAAGGGTTTTTCTTATTCCCCCCTTTAGGTTTCAAAATGAGGCATCTTTTCTTCCCAACCAAAAAAAAAAAAAAAAAAAAAAAAAAATTACATATATATAATGTGAGTGTGTATACAAGTGAAATACGTAGGGAAAAAAACACGATAGAACTAGGCTCACAGGTTTGAAATGATAAGGTCAGTTTTAGTAAAATATAAGAATAAGTTAATGGCAGAAAAAAACAATATACATTACTTAGGAAAAAATCTCTTACTCCTCCCTAACCCCTGCTTCCAGAAATACCTTATTTTAAAATTGCCCCTCTTGAGAATGAATGAGGGATTTTTCAGTTGTCTTCTGGGGAGGACAATCTAAATTTAAACTGAAGACAGAGTGGGGCAGAGTTATGCAGCACCATCTCAGCCCCAGACAGGTAAAATGCTCCTATAATGAGAGCGGGTCAAACCCCTGAGGGCACACGAATACCTGGCAGGACTGGCTCTCCCACCCTCAAAGACACAGAGTCAGTCTTGGTTAATGAAGCTAACTTGCAACTAGAGGACCATGGGTAGTTTAGAAAACACATTTCTAACCATCCATCTGCGCACGCAACGCACCTTTGTCTCTAATATCCTACTGATCTTGGAAAAGACAGGCCATCAGAAAGGATGAGCAGGGGGCTCTGAACTTATTTTAAGATCTCGCAACACCAGCAACGGCTCCTTTGTTAGGATAAGTTTACAGGTATATTTCATAGGACAAAAACGCTTGTAGGAAAAACATGGCTGGGAGTGTGTATACTTTGATGATGAAGATTTCACACCTATCAAGAAGCAACAGATGGGAGTCTAAGATAAACAGGCTGGACTATTTTTATTATAAAAAGTAGTAGCAAAGGTGGGAGGTTTTTGTGAAAGCCTGCACCTTGATATTGCCAACTTCCAAGGTATTTTTAAGCTAAATGGAAGGGTTTTGTTTTAATCACTTTATTGCCAAGCTGAGTTTTACCCCCATGGTCCCTAGAACCTTCTGAGTGCTTCCCAGTGAAGTTGAAGGATCAAATTTATTCTCTTTGTAGGTAGGTGAACATTCACACACCCAGACATAGCTATATATATTTTATATACCTAAATATGAAATATACATTTTACAGATGCTTCACGCGCTTTCTTTCTGTTCACGGAAGCCCAAAAATGTATGTGCCAAAGGGACATTTACCATGGGCTTCAATCGCGCTGGGTGAAGGAGAGGGGCCCTGTAATGAGGTGTCTGGCTATCTGAATGAAAGGCCTAGCAACTGAACCCACATTTACATGCCTGGCATTAGTTCGCATGCTAGAGAGCCGCTCAAATTGAGGACAGCAATTAAGACTCACGGTATTTCTTATGCACAACAGAATTAAAAGTTGTATCCAGCATCTAGTTTATTCTTTTTACCACTGACATGAATCACACATAAAATACTCTCCCGGGTTGTGTATATCTATGCGATAATTGGTAACACAATTTAGTTTTTCTTTTTCCTCTGAATTCAAGTTAAACTTGGCTCAGTCAGCCAGGTCTTTACCAACATGACACCTAGAACGTAGGATGGTTAATTTAGCTTTCTAAGTTAATCAGTTATATCATGAAAGCCCAAACTTGCTCAGCTTTTCTAAAAAAAAAAAAAAAAAAAAAAATCACCAAACCTTAAAAATATCCAAGCATTCACTACTATCTATCAAGGAAGGAGCTGGGGCTGAGATCATGAGACAGAGTTTCTAGACCTAAGAATCTATGAGGTCTGGAACTCTACAGGGCACTTTATGCCTTGTTTTATTTAAACCTCACAGCAATCGTGTGTTTTACAGATGGTAAAACTGAGGCTGGGAGAAGATAATCTGCCTGAGATTGCAGAGCTACCAGCTGGGAAGCAAGGATTCAAACTCGAACTCGTATCTGTCTGACTCTGAGACCTGGTTCTTACTCATGAAGTTAGAACCACTCCTCAAGTCTCAGGAAGTCTTTGAGGTTGGCCTCAAGCCAGGGAAAAGGCTTAAGGAGAAGAATTTATGCTGCAAGGCCACAGAAGGGCAGATGTTACCAAAAGAAATGACTGTAGCTTGTTGCTGAAAGAGCGGAGGGAGGTGCAGCTGCTCCGCTCCTTCTTTGGGGACGTGTACTTCAGGAGAGGCTTCCTGCCCTTCTACAGCTTCCCTGCGTTGTGCAGACAGGCAATGATCAACTCCCTGGAGAGAAAAGATCTGCGCTCGGGGATAAAGACTGACACCAGCGCCAGGCCCAGAAAGAGTATACCTGAGACTACGTTTGATCAAACTTACAATCTCATTTTGTAATTGTACTACTTGCTCTTATTTCTGGAGAGCTGGCAGATGCTAATGTTCCACTTATTATAATACAGCAAAAAAGGGCACTGGGATTCATGTCCCTGAGTCTGGGCTTTTAATTCCACATCTGCTACTAACTTGTATGACTACAAACAATCATGATAGTTACAGTAATAATAAAATATGCCCTTTGGGCCGGGTGCAGTGGCTCATGCTTATAATCCCCGCACTTTGGGAGGCCAAGATGGGCAGATCACCTGAGGTCAGGAGTTTGAGGCCAACCTGGCCAACATGGTGAAACCCAATCTCTACTAAAAATACAAAAGTTAGCCAGGCGTGGTGGTATGTGCCTGTAATCCAGCTACTTGGGAGGCTGAGGCAGGAGAATCACTTGAATCCAGGAGGCGGAGGCTGCAATAAGCTGAGATCACACCACTGCACCCTAGCCTGGGCAACACAGCGAGACTCCATCTCCAAAAAAAAAAAAAAAAAAAAAAAGCCCTTTGGTCCTATGCTTTATACTTGGGACTCCAGGACTATTTCCCACACAATCCTCTGATGTCCTTAGAAGAACACTATTTTATCTCAACTTTACATGTGAAAAAACTGAGGCTTAGAAAGGTCTAGTCCCGGCTGGGCGCGGTGGCTCACGCCTGTAATCCCAGAACTTTGGGAGACCAAGTGGGTGGATCACAAGGTCAAGAGATTGAGACCATCTGGCCAACATAGTGAAACCCCGTCTTTACTAAAAATACAAGAATTAGGTGGGCGTGGTGGCACGTGCCTGTATTCCCAGCTACTCGGGAGGCTAAGGCAGGAGAATCTCTTGAACCCGGGAGGCGGAGTTTGTAGTGAGCTGAGATTGCGCCATTGCACTCCAGCATGGGCGACAGAGCGAGACTCCATCTCAAAAAAGAAAAAAAGAAACCCAAAAAACCCCTTAACTAGAATTTACAATAGTGCGAAAAGAACAGAAGTGTGCCAAGACCAATGAAGATCTGTCTGGTCACAGATCTTGCAGTGAGCCAAGATCGTGCCACTGTACTCCAGCCTGGGGGACAGAGCAAGACTCTGTCTCAAAAAAAAGCTCCAGTCTTTGCCCAAAGTCACATGCTGGTGACAGATGTGGAACGTGACCTGAGGCTGTGCTCTTAGCCATTCAGCTACACTGCCTCTTCGAAAGAAACTGAGGCTTAGAAAGGTCCAGTACCTGCCCAAGGTCACACACTGGTGACAGATGAGGAACATGACCCTGAAGCTGTGCTCTTAGCCACTCTGCTACACTGCCTCTTCGAAAGAAACTGAGGCTTAGAAAGGTCCAGTCCCTGCCCAAGGTCACACACTGGTGACAGATGAGTAACGTGACCCTAAGGCCATGCTCTTAGCCACTCTGCTACACTGCCTCCACGATCAGCTCCCCATCTGCTCCCTGCTGATCCCGCAGAGCTGCCGTGGAACCATAATTAAGTATCTGGGGGAACATTAAAAAAGAAACCAAAAGGCCGGGCGCGGTGGCTCACACCTGTAATACCAGTACTTTGGGAGGCCGAGGTGGGCGAATCACGAGGTCAGGAGTTCGAGACCAGCCTGACCAACATGGTGAAACTCCATCTCTACTAAAAATACAAAAAAATTAGGTGGGTGTGGTGGCACGTGCCTGTATTCCCAGCTACTCGGGAGGCTGAGGCAGAAGAATCGCTTGAACCAGGGAGGCGGAGGTTGCAGTGAGCTGAGATTGCGCCATTGCACTCCAGCCTGGGTGACAGAGTGAGACTCCATCTCAAAAAAAAAAGAAAAAAAAAAAGAAAAAAAGAAACCCAAAAAACCCCTTAACTAGAATTTATGATAGTTCGAAAAGAACAGAAGTGTGCCAAGACCAATGAAGATCTGTCTGGCCACAGGTCAACAACCCTAACAACAAACTATTAAGAAAGGGTGGTCCAGAGGCTTATGAGTCTTCTATGAAATACTGACTTGCTTCAAGTAACCTGATGACCAATGGAGGCTTTAATAGCTTTTATTGTTCACAGGGATCTTTGCTGTGGTACTAACTGTTGATCAAATGTCACCTCTAAAAATGACTAACATTTCCTTATTTAAAAAACGATTCAGTTCAATTATCTTGGTTTAGTTAATACTAATAAAGGCATATCGGTATACAGTTAAATATATGTGCTTTGAAGTTAAGACTGCAAATCCCAGAATGACTAAAGCATATTGGTGTGCCCCTGTGAAAGTTCCTTCACCTCTCTAAGTCTCAGTTTCCTCATCTGTAAATTGGGGCCATCACTACCTTCTCAGATTGCTAGATTAAATGGGACTGTGCATGTAAAGAGTGCAGCACAGTCCTAGGTTGGGAATACACACTTTGCTAACACAGGCTATGGCTATTTCCTCTCCTGGTATTACATACATTTCCTTAGATGCTCTCTAAAACAAGGGAACTTAAGTCAGGGTCAGTGAAACGGGGTCCCTCCCTGCTCAGGGAGAATAATGATCCAAATACAGGCACATGCTACAGCATGATAGAAACTCTTAAGCTTGATCTATCTGGCCCTGATTTTCCGGTCCATCCTCAGGCACACAAAAACAAATGTAAAATATTCAAGTGATTAATATCTCACAGACAAAATTACATATAGCAACACTGCACCCACACACGGGAATACTGGGTAAGGGTGTGGCATTGGGTGAGGGAATAACGGTCTAGTCGGGTGCAGCCTTAAGAGAAGGAGCAGGAAAGGGTGTCCAGGGCTGTCTGCACCTGCTCAGAATCTCCATATGGAACTGCATGGATAATAAAAATTTTTCTTCTTAATGATCTCAACTTTACTCTTCCTCTGTGGATAGCACACACACATTAAAAAATGGATGAACTAAGTGCGTCTGAAAGGAGACACAGAGATACCTATTTCTTCCACGCTGTCTGGGATAGGCAGGTCTAAGCAGCCGTCGTTGCTGAGAATCTGGACAGGGACCACCGGGGCTGAGCGTGTGGAGCTGCCTCCAGACTCATTCTGGCCTGGACCTCCTTTCTGGGGAGCCTGCTGCTGTCTGGCAGGCTTCCAGAATGGACCGTAGCCCACTCACTAGATGAGAGTGGCAAACGCATCCAGAAGCAAAGACGAGAAAAAACAAAACAAAACAAAACAAAAAAAAAAACAAACAAGATTTGGCCTCATCTACTGTCCACGGTTCTTAAAATAAATGTTTTGCTTGACAGAGGAAGTAACCCATACACAAAGCCTCTACTACCCCAAGTGAGTCATGTCTGTTGGCAGCAAGCACAATAAATAACAAAACTCACCTGGGCGCCCCATCGTTTCCCTTTAAAACGGTCATCTCTCGTCAGAACACACAAAATATCTTCCATCTTCATCTCAGAAACGCTGTAAAGGGAAGGGCATAGCAAGGTAAACTTTTTGCTCTTTCAGAAACACCCAAGACCTTGATGCACAAAACTGGCCTATTCTTGAGCTAATTAGACATGAAGTAGAAGTGACACCTTCATAGGAAAGGAAATATTTTCCTAAACCCTTAGGAATTGAGAACGGGACCTCTATGATATTAAAGGGACAGGATGATATTCCTGACAATTTCTTTCCTCCCTGATGAATTTAAAAGAGGCTACATTTAGAATTTCCTTAATAGAGATTGTGTCATTATTTCTTAATAAATTTTGAATACCAAACAAGTGCGCCCACTCAACTGATCAACTCCCTTGCCTTGAGCACATGATGGTGAAATAGAAAGCATTTTGATCTCTGTAGTTTATACTGAAGAGAAAAAAAAAAAGGAAAGAGAAGGGTGGCCAACATCCTCCACTGTGGGATAAACACCCCTGTGAGGGTAACGAGGGCACAAAGCCCTGTCCACAGCAGCACTGCCCTTTCTTCTTCTACCCTGAAGGAGCTTCACTACCCTTGTCTCTTAATTACTGAGGGGTGAAGACCCAAGGATCTCTGACAAACCCGGAGCCATGTGCCAAGCACTGAGACAAGAACTCGGGCTTCACTCAGGAACAGAAGCCACCAGGAGCCAGAACAAAACAGTCAGACCTGCCTAGCAGTGGCGTCTGGAAAGCCTCCGCTTCATCCAATCGACTGCAAGGCCACAGCATTCGAATGTAGGGAGCAGAGAGAGACTTGCGTGTCAGAGATGAAGGAGGAAACGTGAGCTGCTGATAAGATACTTCCCAGGGAGAAAGAGAAACAGAAAGAGAAGGAGGAGTTCTGGGGGGGAAACAGATCATAAAAAGACAAATGATTTTGTTGTATGTTCCTTTTTTTTTTTTTTTTGAAAATGTAACAGCAAATTAAAACATGAATGGCAACCTCTTAGGTGGGAGAAGACAATTCTCCCCCTTTCACCCAAAGGTTACTCTGACAAGGCTATGAATGAAAATGTCATGTCTCTGACAGCGATTTACCTGAAATGTGTCATCTCCCTGCACACCCCTAGTCCTCACCCCTCAGCATCCTCTCTCTGCTGCCAACTCACAGCCCTATGGATGAGTGAAGCCTTTTTACAGCAGCAAGAGTCAGCCAGAGGAGGCAGAGCATGCTCTGAAAGGGCAGGAGTCGGAGGGAGAGTGCCCTGACTTCATGGGAAATCTACTTTTCATAGGACACAGGAATGCGTGGCTACTGAACTCCCCTCTCATTTGTGCCTGGAACCCTGAAGAAAGGTGAAAACATAGCCCAGTCCCATCTTTTTCTTGGTCTATCTGATTTGCTTCTATTCATCACTTTTTTCTTGAGAGAAAAAGAGGAAAAACACAAAAGTAAAAGAATCGCAAGAACTTGGAGTCAAATCTTGAAGCAGAAAGAAAAAAGAATCATGCCACTTGCATTCAGGAATATAAAAAGCTAAACAGCCACAGAAAGGCAGTGTTCTCAAATGCATGTGCTGATATTCCAGCCGGAGCGCGGCTCGTATGCTGCGTGTCCACCTGGCGATGTCGGGGGACCACACACCCCAAGCACACGGGAGCTGAGAGGGAACTGAAGTGATTTACAGTTTCAAAGGGCCTTCTTCCTCTTCCTAAGAAATTGCTGCTTCTGAGGAACAAAGCAAATCTACTATGATTATTTATGGGTCCATCAACAGATCTGAATCACCCCACCTTAGTATGAAACGAGATGGATAAATAAATAAATTCAGGGAACTGTCTTATGCCTGATCTAAGAAATACATGTTTTGATGAAGCATTTACATTTTAATAAACCAATGATGATTTTCATTAGAAACACATTTAAAGGGGAGGCAGAAAAAAGTTAAGAAGTTGACAAATACAGAGAAGTCAAAAGAATGCAGAAGCAAAGTTCTGAGCATCTAGACAGAGGTGGCAATGGCCCAGGAACCTGTCTCTTGCCCTGTCTGCTCCATTCAACTGCCAGGGCAAGCACCGCAGCGCTCGGTCTAGGAAGGCGGGTGGCCATTTGTTGTGCTGGGCCTTGCTGCCGAGAGCCTCGGCCTGCCTTCTCCAATCTGCCCTGTGATGCCTCAGCCCTCCCAGCGCCCCTCTGCCTGGCTCTCATGTTCTCAGGCACGAAACATGTACATGCTTCCTCCTCCTCAAAAAATATTTAGGAGTGGACCTTTTGGGTTCTAAAAATGTTCAAGTCTGCTTCTTCCCACTGCACACTTTGCAAATGGTTAATACGGTTTTTTTTTTTTCATTAAGTCAAAGAAATAGTTCACGTATAGATATAGCCAATGTAGAGCCTTTCCTCAAACAGAAATTGGGAAGAACAATGCATGACTGCAACGTAATAACCCAGATTCTGATGTCTGTTTAAGTTGATTACAGCGCGCCCACGAGGCAGGCAGCGGTCCAGGCCCAGGCCCCTCACAAGTGAGTTTTCAGGGCAGACACCAGTGAAGTGGGGCTCACACAAGGACCCTCCCTCCTCACGCAAATGCTCTTCCACCACCCTGCAGAGTCCCTCCCCAAAAGGCCTACACTTCCTCCTTTCGGAAGAGGTGGCGTTGTCACTGAGTTGTCTTCCTTCTAACGTGGGATTAAAAAGGGAGTCATGTAAATGAGGGCACACTATTTTTTCCAGACAAGATCATCACAGCAGATGACGGTATTTGTTATGTCTTTAAAATATACCTGACTCCTTAATACTTCGTGCCTCTGCTAATCACTGTTTTCCCTTTTCAATTTTATATTTGAGCCCTTCATAGCAATCTACTTGAACGTGTTATTGGAGAAAAATAAAGAGAACAGAGAGAGGCACGTCTGCTGTTAACTCTAGCATTAGACAATTATCATTGGACTCTGTAATTGCTGTCACTCATTTTTCTTAGGAAGAGGTCATGTTAAAGTGAACGAGCGTGGGGGAACATCCAGAGAGCTGCAGCCAGCAAGGAACGGGAGAATGGAATTTGTAGCTCTAGAATGGAAGGAAGAGGAAAAGAAGTGTGGAGCGACTGACAGGCTGTTACGGTGTGCTGACTACATTTTCTATTGTGGGGCCACAACACAAAATTCTGAAGATGCTTTCTGCAGGTACACAAATTCCTATGACAGGAAACGCAGCCACCAGCAGCACTGTGACGGGCTCCCAGCCTGTGAGAACAGGGTCAGGGAGGAAAGGAAACCAGCTGTGCCAGCGGGCTTGCACTTCACCTTCCCCAGGTTCCTGGTACACCTGCATGATGGGTGTCAGCCTCGATGCTGAAAGGGCCGCAAAGAGAGGCCAGCCAGCCTCCAGCTGAGGGAGCTCAGAACTCAGCCGGAGAAGCGGTGCTGGGTGAAAAGGGACTGATCTGTATGAGATTTCTTTCACTAATAAGATACAATATGCACATCTTCCTTAACAAACAAAAACCACTCTTTCAACTGACAGACTGTGTTAAGATAAGGAACACACTGAAGAAAGGAAAACCCAAACTATATTTTGGCCCCCCTGACATTACAACCAGGAGTAGCTTCCTTCCTCCCGCAACGCTGCACGACACACGACACATTTTCTGAATGAGCCTCAGTCCATAAGTGTTCACACTAACAACCTTGAGTTTTAAAAAGCCTTACTAGCATGAGAGGTGGAGTTCTGCTGGTGGGAAATGGGGCAGGTATGGTGGGGATAGCCACACACAGCTCCTGCGACTGAGTGGGCTGCACCCCTAACAGGCCTCCAGGCTGCCTGCTAGGATGTTTCCATTCCAATGAAGAATGCAGTGCTTTGTTCTAGCACTGTACTTTAGGGGAGAAAACAGTGTTGCAGTTCTATCTGATGTTTTACATAAAACACAGGGCTGGGCAAGGAAAAGGAAGTAAGACTATCCCATTTACAGCAGAGCTGAGCTGTGTGCTCATGGCACGCCAGATCTGGAATCCAGGGCTTTACTAAAGCAGGGGTGTGAGGTGCTGAACTGTGACACACAGGATGGCGGCTGAACGTCCTGGCTGTGAGTGTAGTATGGATTTCAATAGCCTCAAAATCAATTCTCCTGGGTTTATATTCCTGGGGGAGGGAAATTGTGTGGTAAGTAAAAAGTATTATTTCTTTAAAAGACAAATCAACTTTGAAGATACAAACCATTAATTGTAAGAAATAAAAGTTGTGAATAAAAGGCCTTTCAGAAGCTGTGAAGATGGTGCATACTTATCTTTACAGCAGGAGAAACAAAACACAGCTCTCTAAAAGAAAACCAAGTACAACAGATCGCCCTATGACTTAGTCTGGCAATGCAATGAAAACTGTCATGTGGTGAGGATATTAAGGGTTTTAGTTTTTGCCACTGGCTATTCTGGGACTCATTTAGGGATCACAAGGGTTAATGGCTCTTCGTCAGCTTACAAGGCCCATCCACTGTAAAAAGCGACTGAAAGTTAATTAGGTGAGATCAGCAGAAACCCCATTCAGGTTTCTGACTCACTTGATTTTGTGAGAAGCCAACGAGTTGACATATTCTGCCTCCGAAGGAGCCAAAATGAGCAGGCTGCTCCCATGGCAGCCAATCCGGGCGGTTCTTCCAATCCGGTGGATGTATTCTGCAGGTGAAGATGGAGCGTTGTACTAAAAAGGGTAACAAAAATGAAGGCATTCATAGATCAAGGGACTGCCATTAATTGGAAGTGCAATACCCCTCACCTGCCTCCAGGTATCCCAAGAATTAAATCCTGGTGCTATGGTTACCCTAACACAATCATAAGGAGAAGTCACTCAACCCTGAAACTCCTGGCTTCATTGGAAATAACAAGGCTCTGACACGTAAATGTGAACAGTGGCCAAGTTTCCAATAAACGAGACGTCTTCTCATCCCAATATCTCCTTTTTAATTTTACTTCTCCACAGGTCTCTTCATTTTCTGATTTGCATCTTTTCACTGTGGTGACTGGATGAGGTGAAAATGTAGGCAGGTGGGGGTACATTTCTCCAGGATGATCACATGACCTTGGCCTACTTCCTTGGAAGACAAGGCCATAGGGTGAGGTGTCCAGAGGACACTGGAGGGCATAAGGACGAAGGGGCTCCCTGCTCTGTGGGCAGAGTCTACCTCTGTTGCCAGGCCACCAGGAGCAGGCCCCAGGAGCTGGTCCCCACCAGCCTGCCACCAGGAGCAGGCCCCAGGAGCTGGTCCCCACCAGCCTGTAGCAGCCCCATTCAGTCCTTTAGAATGAAGGCCATTCTACAGAATGTGGGCAGGTGAGGGGCAGGCTCCCTGCAGGTAGGACACTGCTTCTGCTTGCATGGAGAGCACCGCCAACTCAGAGAAAAGAGCAGACTCTATCACTCATTACGATGTATAATGCACAGCACTTTATGTTTTCTTTGGCAATAACTCTGTCATCATTAAAGCTAATTGACCATCCACTCATTCTTCCTTTTTTTTCCCTTTGATGCTACACAAATCAAAAAGATGAGGGCCAAGATGAATATAATGTATGGGAGGCTAAGCACATGAAATGAATCAATATTCATAATATAAGCTCTAAATGATCAATTCTGTATGTCTGGCCTCCCGTACATTAAAATCATCATTGCCTTATCTTCAGTTCACTCTGTGGCCAGCAGGAAAGAAGACACAATGCCTCCAGTTCTAAAGTGATCATCTGCAGGGAGCAGATCAGACATCCTGGCCAGTGACAAGCATGCAATCCCACTAAAATGTGAATAAACCATGACTCACGTCAACAGGGCACGTGTCCCCCAGCCCCCACGCAGAAGGGCTTAAAAATACCATTCTGTAGACTAATGAAAAGAAAAAACAAAACTAAAACCACCAGACTCTAGTGCTAACACCTGTACCCTCTGGCAAAGCGTCTAAGGCTAGAGGTATGTGTAAGATGCTGTCAGGAACTTAATTGCTCCCTGCAGGTCAATGTACATGGACATGGCTCTCAGGACAGCTGAGCCATCTCCTTCTGGACACAATGAGGCCTCCCAGGGGCTGAAGTAATTCCTGTTGTTTTCAGATTGTTGAAATTTTGGTTTGTGACATGAATTAGTTTAGAAGCAGGAGAGCCTGCCACCTCCCTCTCGTGAACGCACATTCTGGCTGTTTTGCTGCAGTGGTGAGGTGGGCTGGGTTAAGGAAAGATGTCAGGGGAATTGTACAGATAAGGCTGGTTTGCTGCCTGGTTACCAGGGCAACACCCAAGAGGATAATAATAATTATTCTACTTAAAGCCAATGCATCTACTCATGATCATATATTCCTGCCTCAAGCTTACACCTTAACAACTAAAAAATTACCTGAACAATCCACGTGACTTGAGGGAGATCTAAGCCCCGAGCTGCAACATCCTTTAAAAAGAAAAGAATATGGTTTAACACTGAGTTTCTGAATCTTTCTGGGGTCCTGGATATGTCTGATAATTTAACACAAACTCTGAGAGTTCACCCGCCCACAGTGCACACACATTCGGGCATACATGTGTATGCCCAGTACACACACACACACATACACACACACATACACACACACTGCATACAACTTCAGGGGGCTCGGGGACCCACTGCAGTCCTCTTGTGGTTAAAAATTCTGATTTCGGGGCAAATGCTACAGAATCCATTGATGAGGGAGTCACAACACCCTTTGCTAAAAGAATCGACAGGTTAGCCTAGGAACTTAAACAGTAATGACCAGTTGCGTAATGTAAAGTACTCTGAACACACATTTTATTTGAAAAACCACTTGATGATGAACACATTCATGGATCATCATCCCCCCACCACAACCATGAGCAACGCGGAACAACAAGCTGGCCTGGAGGTGTGTTCTCGAACATCTCCCCTCAAGGCATTCGCTGTGGGAGTGAAGCGCAAAGTAGTTACTGAGGATTTTGCTTTCTGGCCTCAGAGAGCAGCAAGGATCCAGCAATCCTCCGTCTCTTCTGATGGCTGGATTAGAATACAGGCCAAACCCATTAATCACTTCAAAGACTTAGCTAGAGAGCTGAAAAATTATAAAAGCAATGGAGATTTATTTTTTAATTTTATGTATCTTTTCAACTAGTCTCCACCCAAAGAGCAAAAATTCTCTACTCTCTCTAGGCTCTCACCATTCCAGCAGACTGGAAAGTGGGAATTTCTCTGACTTTAGCTAACATTTGCACTCAGGATTCATTCTTCAAGAATAACAGTCATAATGAGAGTGTGCCAGTCAACATTTACTGAACACTTACTATCCACCACACACACTGCGTTGAGATCTTTACCTGCGTTGCCTTGACTAATCCTCAAAACAACTATTACCCCCATCTGACAGATGAGAAAACCAAAGTTAAGAGAGATTAAGTAGTTTGTTTGGGGACACACAGCTGGGAAGTGGAAACAATCCTCGAATCCAGGTCTGCTTTGCTTTTTCAAGGCCATATTATATTATACCGCATTCCACCATCAAAAATGATCCTATGTCCCTCATATGCTGCTGGTGGGAATCCCTATGGCAGGGAATTTGGTAGTATCTAGCAAAATTACATGTGCATTCGCTCTTGACCCAGAGCAGTATCACTTCCAGAAGTCCATCCAAAAAAAGATACACTGACAAAAATACAAAATGATATGGGCATGAGGCCATTCATTTCAGCACCATATATGATTATAGATCTAGAAAAAAACTGTCGACCAGAAGAAGACAGGTTCGATAAAATACAGCAATATCTCATGTAACAGTACTATACAGCTATAAAAAGAACAAAGATTTCTATATACGGATATGGAGACTCTAGGATATATTTTGAGAGTGTCTAGTATGCTTGTGTAAGAAGTTGGGAAAATACAAACATATTTGCTCATATTTCAGTAGGAAATCATGGTGGGAAGAACTCCCAAAGCTCAAACAAATCGTTACCGCCAGGGGAGGAAGAAAAGAGGAAGGACAGAACAAAGATGGAAGCTACACTTTTTCTTTTTTCTTTTCTTTTTTTTTTTTTTTGAGATGGAGTCTTGCTGTGTCGCCCCGGCTGGAGTGCAGTGGTGCGGTCTCGGCTCACTGCAAGCTCTGCCTCTCAGGTTCACGCCATTCTCCTGCCTCGAGTAGGAGGGACTACAGGTGAGTAGCTGGGACTACAGGCGCCCACCATCACGCCCGGCAAATTTTTTGTATTTTTAGTAGAGACAGGGTTTCAGCATATTAGCCAGGATGGTCCCAATCTCCTGACCTCGTGATCCGCCCGCCTCGGCCTCCCAAAGTGCTGGGATTACAGGCGTGAGCCACCGCGTCTGGCCCAGAAGCTACACTTTCTTTAATGAACCTTGATACTTTTGACTCAGATGGTGGAAGTGTCTTGGCATAATTTAAAAAGATAAACAGCTGTCACTATAGGAAATACAGAGTATCACTTATGACATATTCTCACCAAACAAAATAAAACCTGAAACCTAGAACCTAAATCTAATCAAGTCTCTAGATCCAACTACTAGTTTACAGGAAGTATGGGAAAGAGGAACATGTTGAACAGCATGAGGACACAATTAGCCAAATCCTGAATGTAGGGTATTCTAAAAGACAAATGATCTGGTTTCTTCAAGAAAAAAGTTCAAGAAAAATAAAGGAGGGGTAACAACACCCAAAACACATTAAATAGGCAGATGGAGAACCAATACCTTGATGGAAGCTCACAAAACCACCAACTGTGGTTATCCCTGGATGGAAGGATCTAGGGGGATTTTTACTTTTCTCTCTGTGTTTGGCTTTCTTTTAACAATGAATTCTTATCATTTCCCCTACAATTTTTATTTAGAAAAATTTAAACCTACAGAAAAGTTAAAAGACTAGTGCAACCTAGATTAAGGAGATACAGATGTAACTCCTTCATCTAGATTCCGCCACCGCCAGTCTTTGGCCCATCTGTGTTCCATCTATCTACTTATGCCCCCACACACATACACATATGCAAGCACATTTTTCTGAACCATCTGAAAGTCGGTTGCAAACATCATGACATTTTAAACCTAAATACTTTAACACATACCTCCTAAGTAAAAGGACACTGATCTACATAACCACAACACTATTATCACACCTCAGAAATTTAACATGGAATAGCATTTTCTAATCAACAGTCCATATTCAAATTTCTCCAACTGTACCTAAGATGTCTTTTTTTTTTTTAAAGATGGGGTCTCATTCTGTTGCCCAGGCTGGAGTACAGTGGTACAACCACTGCTCATTGCAGGCTCAACCTCCTGGGTTCAAGTGACGCTCTGGCCTCAACCTCCTGAGTAGCTGGACGACTACCGGCAAGCTCCACCACACCCGGCTAATCTAGATTCTTTTTGCTCAGGCTGGTCTTCAACTCCTGGGCTTAAGCGATCCTCCCATCCCAGCCTCCCAAGGCGTTGGGATTACAGGCATGAGCCACCACGCCTTAATATGCCTTTTACAGTTGTTTTTCTTCCTAAACTAGGGTCAGATGGTAGATCACGCACTCCGCTATGTCTCTGTAGACTTCTTTTGTTTGGAACCATACCCCTGCCTTTGATTGACTTACTTAGTTTTTCGATGTCTGTCATTTTTTAAGAACATCAAAATGTTCCTGAGGATATCAGACAACTGGATTTGTCTAACTGCTTCCTCATGGTAAGGTTCTGGTTAGGCTTTCTGGCAGAAACCACCTCACAGGGTGGTGTGCGCTTCCCACGGTTCCATGTCGGGAAACACACTGGGGCAGTCTGTCCTGTATGGGTCCCTCTGTTAGGAAGGTGACTTTCTCCTTTGTAACGAGTAACTGGGGAGTGACACTTTGAGACCATGCGAATAACATGGTCCTGTTTCCTAAAACCTTTCAACCAAGGCTTTTAGCATTGACTGATGGCCCTTGTCTATACTGTTACCTTGATGATTCTTTAAGTCTATCATTCCTTCCTTCCATTTCACAGCTCTGGGATACTTCTGTAAAAACAGCCCACCCCTCACCCACTGTTAGGTATCACAAAGGATTCAGATGTACATAGCTTTCTTTTTTTTTTTTTTGAGACAGAGTCTCGCTCTGTTGCCCAGGCTGGAGTGCAGTGGTCTCGATCTCCCGACCTCGTGATCCGCCCGCCTTAGCCTCCCATAGTGCTGGGATTACAAGTGTGAGCCACTGTGCCCGGCCTATACATAGCTGTTTTGAAAAACAATAATACTATGTGAAGTACTATACGAAACACATTCCCAGTGGGCGCAGTGGCTCACACCTATAATCCCAGCACTTTGGGAGGCTGAGGCAGGTGGATCACCTGAGGTCAGGAGTTCGAGACCGGCGTGACCAACATGGTGAAACTCCATCTCTACAAAAAATACAAAAATTAGCCAGGCATGGTGGTGCGTGCCTGTAGTCCCAGCTACTTCGGAGGCAGAGGCAGGAGAATTGCTTGAACCCGGGAGGTGGAGGGTGCAATGAGCCAAGATTGCACCATTGCACTCCACCCTGGGCAACAAGAGCAAAACTCTGTCTCAAAAAAAAGAAAAAAGAAACACATTCCTGCTTCCCCCAGGGTCAGAGGCAGGACTTGGGGGAGATACCACCCCACCATCACTCTCCCAGAAGGACCACTGAGGGTACCTCAGGATTTGTCTGCCTTCACTCGTACCTCAGATTTGCGGGTTTCCTTTGAATGCTGGCTAGGCTGCATTTGTAAGTGTGTAAGCAGAAGTTAAATGTACTAAAAGTGTGTCAACCACCCACAAAGTGTTTTCAGACAGCTCCCACAGGTTCTGGAAGCTGAAGGCCGATGCTGCAGAGCTGATGCCTTTGAGAACACAATTTAGGATGTTCTCTATCTAAAGGGGAGCGGGAGCGGCTTTCTACACCAACTACAGTTTATGTTTTTAGAAACACTGATGAGTTCTTACATCTGCAAAGCTCTTGTGAAGAACTGATTTCTTTAAGTGCCCTGCAGTGGGAGATATATGTAGGCACGGGCTGCTCGAGCTTCACAGACAGGCCTTGTAAAAAATTTAACACTCATTGGCTTAGTAAATTCAACCAGCAAACACTAAGACTCTAAAGACTCTAAAATAATGTGTGATGTTCATGAAACTCACTGTGAGTCCAAACACACTGCAACAGTGAGTGATGAAGGACGCCGGCAGACTGTCATTGTGTCTTCAAGGTTCTATTTCCTACTTAGATGACCTAGCTCTGGACAACAGGCTAAGACACAATCTTCAGGTCTCCCACTAATGCGTGTTGTTGGGGGAACCTCACTGACGGCCAACCGCTGCCCAATACTCCTTGTTTTCTCTCCCCCAGATTTAACTCAGCCATTTCTTTAGGCTACCACAGTGAATAAGGAGAAAGAAAGGCAAGTCCTGG